CATGGTTCCCTCAGCAAAGTTCAAAGACTCGATGAATCCACTGCTGAGTCCCTCGAAGAACTCGTAGGCAATGACTTGGGCTGCAATAGGCTTTCCGTTGATGAAGTTTCCAATGACCTGTTCTTGAGATTAGCTACAAAGAACATGAGTTTAAGGTTCAAGGGCAGCATACGTTAACCTCATATCCCAACATGGACTGTTTGTCTGCTGTGAAGTCCTTCCAAGGAACCCATGCGGCAGGGAACTGGACTTGAAGGTTCTTGGGGACTTGGATATTGAAGCCATTCACAGTGATGGTTCCTCCCGAATTGTAGGTGTCATCAGTGGCAGTTGCATCTTCGAAGCCTCCCTGAACAAACAGTGGAGCGTCTTGTGCGAAGACATTGCGAATGAACAGAAGAAGAGGGACGTAGAGAAACAACGTGAAGAAGAGATTGTTGGGTGCCATTGCGAAGTCTGCTGTGGAACTTTGAAGCCTTGACTTTGCTGATGCTCTCAACACCGGTCATTTCACGTCCCTTTTATATTTCATGCCTCCTCCCAACCGTTGCCCAAATCGACAGTTGAACATAGGATTTCTTCACAGAAAGGAGTCGAGTACATGCCAAGCAGTGCTCAGTATTGCCTCAACACCACCTCGTGGAGTCGTTGCCCAGGAGCTATACTGCATTTCACTACCCACCGAGATTTTTTCCTTTTTTCAATAGTATGGGCTTGTCTCTGCAGGAACCCGGCCGCCGTGTATGCGAGTGTAGTCTTTTACAGAGAACTAACGTGATGGACCCACCAGGTCTTCACCGGACGCCCCTAATGGCAACGAATCCTTGCATATAGCTGAACAGCCCCCAGAATAGCTATTTCTGGGGCATTCTGGTAGTCAGCGGACGGCGTGTGGTCCGTACTGCCAAGGTTGAGCCAAGCGAGCGGACCGCGAGGCTCGAATGCAAAAGTGCCATGTCGGTGGCGGTTCTGCAGGCCAATATGCCGAGGCCCTGGCGATAATCGAGAAAGTACTCCGAGACATTGTCGGCGTGAGACTGCATGTGTATTAGTGTACGATAGTCTCAGGCCACGGCCATGTGCGTGGTGCCGATCTTGCTCGATATAGCAATGGTAGTCGCCTATGCATTTAGCGAAGAAGAACCGTTTCAACGTACTTGGGCGATTAAAACGGCTGCTAAGATGACGGTAGTACGTAAGCATAAACTTTCAACGGTGCTATATTTACTATTTAGCACAGACAGCATGGTTCTCCTGTGGCAAATGGAGTCAAGTCGCTGCGTCGAGTGAGTCGGGGAATAATGCGTGGGGGGTTCCGTTCGCTTGGAGTCCAAAGTTCCCGCCGGGCTCGGTCCGCACACATGGTTGTTCATGCATGCGCGGAGCCTCCGCGTTTCTCTCCGCGTTTTAGCACGCCAAGGAATCCTGAGGGCTTAAGCCATACACAAGGCCTAACAAGACTTCGGACTACGAAGAGCGGGCACGTGGGCTAGATTTCAGCGTGGCTTTTGGTTAGTGACTCGAGGTAGGCTATCTAAAGTAAGTCCGACGAGTATGCGGAGCGGCACGATGCCGTCTTTGGCCTCCCGCCCGGCTATGCGCGTTCGATTGGATGTCTGGACTTGACAGTCGCTAGCATTAGGGTAAAACCCTGTGGGACAGCGTACTTGGCAGGAGTATTGAAACACGGGCCATCGGATGTTGTTAGCACATCCTAACTTTTGCTTTAGTTACGGTAAAAGTAGGCGTACTCCAGCCTCAGGTCTCCACAGAGTCCGGGGTACGATACCTATAGCCCATCCAGTATCAACCCTGTCTATGACAAGACCGCAGAAGTCCCTAAAGGCGTCATGCCTACATGTGTCATTTCAAGTAACCTGACTAAGTCTGTCATGCTTGGAGCCTATAGGCAGGTACAGGGACCATGCTTGCCCAATTATATTTCACCGGATGAGCCATTTCCACTTCCGCGCAATGTGTAAGTAGGTGGGAGATCCCCCTTGCAGACACACGCACACAGTGCTAAACCGCATGAAGGTTTTGAACTACTCTCATTTCTTTTCAGTGGCCCATGAACGATCGAGATGGTGGTAGGCCGATCGAGGCAAGAAATAGACCAGAGAGTGGAGACCTCAGGCGACAATTGCTCATGTGGTGGATACCTTAAGCGACAAGACATCACTTTGTAAACGCTTAGCAAGACAAGACTACCCTCCCTCCTAGACGAGAATATACCGCAATCATACCGTAGGAGTATTGGCAAGGCCATGTGCACAGTAGCCAAGACACAGTGAAAAACCAGATCAGGGTCCTCGAGCGCCAAAGCCTTCGTCCGTGTGGCTAAAGACATCACGTTTCAATGAAACATGGAGTCTTGGGAGTTCAAGAAAGGACATTCTTCCGTCTTGGATTGCAGCTGAACTATTCCTATCCCTTGTATAGTTCACGCCTCCAACGGCGCCTCCAAGAAATAGTGGCCGGTCAAGCAAGTCAGTAGAGAGCTTATCACGATTCAGGCCAGAGATAACGGCGAACCTCATGTGATGAACGATGAACTCAGGGGAGGGAGAAGCGGGAAGAGGTGTGCACTGAGAGGAAAAAAACCGTTCAGACAGAACACCATGGCTTGCCACTGATGTGTATAAAGAGCAGAGGTTTCCAGTCGAGAAATATCCTCACCACTCATCCTTTGAGCATCCGCTTCTCAACTCCTTCTTTGTTCAAGATGGTCTCCAAGTACTTCCTCTCAGCTCTTCAGCTCGCTTCTCTTGTCAAAGGCATCTACGGCCAGGTTGAGGTTCTTGCTGAACGTCCCGCCAAATATGTCGATGACACTCCTGAAGCAGAGAAAGTGGCACTGGCATCTATTGTCGAAGATGATCCAGCCGATGTAGTTACTCTCATGGCAAAGGACTGGGAGAGCCCAGAGTATCCTCTCATCTTCGGCAAGGCACTGCCCATTCCCCCAGCCAAGCAGCCAAAGTAGTAAGTCCCCCACTCCACCACCACACCCTCAGCGCTCTGGCAAAATACTGATTGGACACAGTAAATTCACCAATCCTGTTACTGGCAAGGAGATTTGGTACTACGAGATTGTCATCAAGCCCTTCACTCAGCAGGTCTACCCCAATCTGCGTCCTGCTCGTCTCGTGGGCTACGATGGCATCTCGCCTGGTCCCACCATCATTGTACCCAGGGGAACAGAGTCTGTGGTACGCTTTGTCAACCAAGGTGATCGCGAGAGCTCAATCCATCTTCATGGCTCGCCTTCTCGTGCTCCGTTTGACGGGTGGGCTGAAGATCTGATTCAGCAAAACCAGTACAAAGGTAAGTACAACACTGCCACACCATTGCCCCCAACGATCTCCTCCAATACTAACAAACTGTAAAATAGATTACTACTACCCCAATAACCAAGCCGCAAGATTCCTCTGGTACCATGATCACGCTATGCACTTTGTAAGTCCCTCCTCGCCACCCACCACCCCCACCCCCTCGATCCCCCGCCTCCCAACAAAACCTCCCCAACAACCAAATACTAACCGCCTCCCCCCCACCACCAGACGGCAGAGAACGCCTACTTTGGACAAGCCGGCGCATACCTAATCACGGACCCAGCCGAAGACGCTCTCGGCCTGCCCTCAGGCTACGGCAAATACGACATCCCACTCGTCCTGAGCTCCAAGTACTACAACGCCGACGGCACCCTGCAGTCGAGCCTGGGCGAAGACAACAGCCTCTGGGGCGACATTATCCACGTCAACGGCCAGCCCTGGCCGTTCCTGACCGTCGAGCCGCGCAAGTACCGTCTCCGCTTCCTCAACGCCGCCGTATCACGCAATTTCGCACTGTACTTTGTCAAGGCTGATGCGACGGCTTCGAGGCTGCCGTTCCAGGTCATTGCGTCCGATGCGGGATTGCTTACGCACCCCGTGCAGACGTCGGACATGTATGTTGCGGCCGCTGAGCGCTACGAGATTGTGTTTGACTTTACTCCTTTTGCCGGCCAAGCGATTGATCTCAAGAACTTTGCAAAGGCCAACGGTGTCGGTACTGATGATGATTACGCCAATACCGATAAGGTGATGCGGTTCCGTGTTAGCAGTGACCCGGTGGTTGATAACTCGGTTGTCCCCTCGCAGCTGTCGACGATTCAGTTCCCAACGGACAAGACGACTATTGATCACCACTTCCGCTTCCACCGTACCAACAGCGAGTGGCGCATCAACGGTATTGGTTTCGCCGATGTGCAGAACCGTATCTTGGCAAAGGTTCCTCGCGGCACGGTTGAGCTTTGGGAGTTGGAGAACTCGTCCGGTGGATGGTCGCACCCTATCCACGTGCACTTGGTTGACTTCAGGGTTGTTGCGCGATACGGTTCTGAAAGCACCCGCAGCGTCATGCCGTATGAGGAGGCGGGACTCAAGGATGTGGTCTGGCTCGGTCGTCACGAGACGGTGCTTGTAGAGGCGCATTATGCTCCTTGGGACGGCGTCTACATGTTCCACTGCCACAACCTCATCCACGAAGACCAGGATATGATGGCTGCTTTCGATGTTACCAAGCTGCAGAACTTTGGCTACAACGAGACGACTGACTTCCATGATCCTGAGGATGCGCGCTGGTCTGCTAGACCATTCAGCGTTGCTGATCTCAATGCACGATCGGGTCTCTTTTCGGAAGCGTCCATCAAGGCCAGAGTCGATGAACTGGCTCTTGAGCAGCCTTACAGCGAACTGGACAAGGTAACAGCATCGCTCGAAGCGTACTACAAGAAGAACCAGAAGAGACAGGAAGAGTGCAAGGAGAGGCCTGCTGGTCCTATCCCCCGGTACCGCAGGTTCCAGGTCTAATGGAGAGTGACTTGAGATAGTTAGTCCAATATTTCATCTCGGGTGATAACGGAAGGTGTATGGCTAGTATATTATTCGTCCGATAGTAACAGAGAGGTTTTTACTTGTATCTACGCGTCTCCATATATCCAAGCTCCAGCTGCTTCATCACTGACTCTTCCTTTCTTGATTTTCCGCCACTGGCTGATATGGGTACTTGATAGTAAGACACCAGATGTCGAGGTAATCACATATAGTCCAGATGACGTCCACAATGAAGCTTCCATGCACTCCGATAGCGAGTCCTAGACACATGAAGACGAATGCTACTTGGTAAACGTCGTTACCTAGAGCACTCGGCCAGCCCACACCAAAGTTTTCTTGCAGCCAGGGTCCAAGAGAGTCAACAACTCCGAAGATTAGAGGGTAAATGAGTACATTGCCCCTTGGGAAACGCGACTTTGTGAGATGGGAGATGATCATTCTTCCAACCGAGTAGGCGTTGATCAAACCGGCGTAGAAAACGAACGGTACCAGATGGTGGTGCAGAATGACGGGCTGAAGGTACAAGTAGGCAGGTATCAGGATCCAGGCGCCCGCAAAGGTAAGTAGTCCAAGTAGGGCAACGCGTGTCTTCTGACCACGTGCGCGGCGCGCTTTCATGACGTTCAAGGCGCTGTGATACTGTCAGTCTGGTTCTTGACATCTGAAGAGCTACACTTGCCTTAAAACGGTGTTGAACACCAGCACAAATCCTCCTTGAACCATGTACCATTCATTCCATGCCATGTTGTACAGAGCATCCGGGATAAACTCGAATTGCTTGATGCCCAAAGTCGCAAGCATGGGGCGTTGCCAGAAGCTACCACCACCAAGAAAGGCTGTCGAGGCGTACACAATGCACAGTATGACGATACCTTCTACTGGCCCTGAAATGATACCAAGCGTCAGGGTATGCGTGTGGTACTCGTCCCAAGTCTGGACATAAAATGTCAATGATGCTGTGCTAGTCAGTAAAATGATCTTCTGTCCGCTGGGTCACATGTCACTGACAGGCAAAGAGCGTAAGAACTGTCTTCCATCCTTGGCCGAGATTCATGACTGCAGAGAACAGCAGCACCTCCAGTGTAGTGTTTATCGCATCAACTCCATGATCAAACAATTCACCAAGAGGGCCGCTCTGGCGAGTTCTGCGGGCTTGGCTTCCATCGACAGCATCAAATGTCTGGTACAGGAAAAGGCCAACAGCCCAGCTGAGGTACACCCATGTTGGGCAATCTTGATCTAGAGTCGGCGTATACCATAGCATAGTAAGGAAGTTGATGACAACGAAGCTGAATCCAGTCAACGTGATCTACGTAGCCATGTTAGTGCTCCTCCAAATATTTACGGTCAAGGTGGGGTTCAACTGGCTGCTTGTAGAGCAGATCAGGGTCCCGAAAACATCAAACTTACAAGATTCGGCCTGGACACAGTTAGCAATGCAAATGGCCGATATGTGACAGCACTTACGCCATCCACATGGGAAAACATTTGATGACGACATTGGTGTAGAAGGGCTTCAGCACATATTGTGAGAGAAGACTGTGATCCACACCCGAGTACTTGTACTCTTTGAGCTTGGGCAGCTTGTCCTGTCGAATGTACACCATTGCAGAGCGAGTACTCCTGGGCCAGGACGGTATCAGCAATTGTTGTCGTGTTGTCGCAGTAGGGAGAGAGTAAACTTTGCGTCGGTGTGTGCGTGGGAGAAGAGGCCCGAGCGTTGGGTTATATCGTATGACGTACCCCGCCGCCCTGGCCTGTTTTCTCTGCCACGCTTGCACGCGCGCGAACACGTGGGCAAACACTGGACGACTGACAGACGTTACTCTCCCAACCCTTGTTCTGGATTCAAGCTGGCCCGCATGGTGACTAAAGTATGTTTTCAATAAATACATTGTATCAAACCATAGTATTGCAAAGTGATACCGAGCTACACCCCCACCTCAGTCCTGCCATTGAATGATGCTTTGATCGGTTCATAGACCAAGCAGGCCTCTGTACTTCTGAAGCCTAGTGATGAGTAGTGTTCGGTCTGGGGGAGCAGGGATTTGGTTTGTGCACGAGGATTGCATTCTCGTTCCGTAAAATGTTAAATTCGAGTCATGTTCGGCTTCCATTGGCTGCAGCTCAAGCGACAGGACTCCAGGAGCAGGGAATAAGGATGCTGCTCTTCATGGTTTGAATGAGTGGTACCGTCTTGTGCACCGTCTCGCCCCACCCTTCCACGCTCCAGCTCTGTTCACGACGAATCTTACGTTCCTCGAGGTTGGCAAACTGCCATAGGTGATGCACGGTGTTAAGGTCGCCAATCTGAACGAACCAAGCACCGACACCTTCCATGACCTCTCGTCGGGCCTTCAGCCCACGTCGCCAGTGTGTCTCCCACTCTAGCAGGTTGCCTGGGTGTAGTGTATACGAGCGCAGTTCGAAGATGCCGCCAAGCTGGCGTGGTGGTGTAGTTGGCCAGAAAGAGAACTCTTGCATTAGAGAATTGCGCTTGCCAGAGATCAACTTCTTGAGCTTGGCATCGAAGGCGGGGAATTCGGGGTGCGACTGAATATTGTGTAGCGACTCGTGATATCCTTCGTAGCGTTGGTATTCCCAGATGTGCACTGTGTAGTGTGATCAGCAGAGGAGCTGGATGAGTGATGGTGGAGACTGGAGAGCTTACCAAAGGTATTGCAGTCGCCAACTTCAGTCCTCCAGCTACCTACCAGATGGACTTTGTTCTCGGGAATCGAGGCCATCTTGGGATACCAGCCGCCAACCAACTCGGTGTATTCTTCAACATTTTCCTGCTTGACCTCGTGGAAGACGATTGAGTGAACGTACTTGCCGCGGGCTAGGACCTGCGAGAAGCTACGCTCAATGTCCTTGTCAAGCTCGCGACCCTCAGGTGTGCCGTAAATGAGGGACGACAATGCACCACCCTTCTTTTTGGCATTCTCATGTTCACGGGCGCGAGCCTCTTCTGCAATGGCTCATGTTAGTGTTCTTGATCGGACTGCTGCTAGGGGGCGATTATGACATACTCTCCTCCTGCTCCTTTCGCTTCTGGGCTGCTATCAGGCCATCGCGGAACTTCTTTTGCTTCTCGTTAAAACTCGCCGCACTGTCTGGCGTGATGTCGGCAAGTGCGGGAGCTCGCACAGGACTCTGCGCCGCAGTTGTAGCACCAAAAGCTCGCGTGCGGACAGTAGCAATTGGTTGCGGGATCAGCCTGCCGCGCACGCTGGCACAAGCACGACGTGAGAGCATGGTGTTGAAGGTAAGGAAGGAGGCCAAGCGGGGAACCACCAGAGAAATCGTTGATGTCAGCAAGTGTGCGGGTAGGTGAAGCAGCGTGGGCGTACTTGGGACCCCGGGCGACTTAGAGCTTCCCCTCACCTACATATTACCCCCCAGCTCCCCCCGTCAACCCAGCTAGCGTGCCCGGGGCACTGGGGAAGTGTGCCCCACTACGCATGTATCGACGACACACGTCTCCACTTGATTCCTTCAGCCATCTACGTAATCCTCGTTTGGCAGCAGCGCACTTTTCATCACTTGGTCAATTGACACGCACATGTTGAAATTCGCCATTGTGGCTGTTTGTATTCAAACCATGCCAGGCCCATCTCCAAGCACAAGCCTTCTTCCAGCTCAGTATTAGCTTCTCTTGTCACACTATGGATATCTACCAGCGCCCACCAACACCCCGTATTCCTTATCGCGCAAATACAACTCGACACGACGCGTCGTATGCCCCCCGTTACAACACAGTCATACTGCCCCATGCTTACGGAATAAAGCCATCTGTAGGGCAGAAGATGGCAGATCGCCGCCGAGGATCGCTCTGCACAAGCAGTATCACCTACACAGATTAAACATTTATCTTCCAAGAGATTTGTAACACATTCAAGGTTTCCGGTTTGTCTAGTCCTCGTCGAATATCTGAAGCACATTGTCTAGGATGGTGATAATCACGCGGGCTTGTAGTCCAGCATCGGCCATGTTGTTGCCTTTATGGGGGCCCATGATTGAGGGTCTGTAAAGGATTAGCTGGCGCAGCAACCACTCAGTAGGCATTCACTTACGCCCAACAAATGGCCAGGTTGGCAGTGCTCATGCGGTTGATCTCTGAAGATTGTTGCACCCGATGTAGATGCAGGGCAAGAGCACGCAGCGTTGCGTAGTTCGGATCAGGCAGGGCGTTGATCAGAGCATGCATCGAATCTCGACGCATCGTATCATCGTCAATCCGTGCAGCCTCAATGTACTTGCCATAGAATTCCCGCGTGAGGAGCGGATCAGGCAGCTCGCGGAAGAACTGTTTCAGCAGCCCCGCGACACTGTTGACGTCGTGCTGGAAAGATTCGGGATTTCGGAAATCGACCTGGGAAGCATCTGCCCTGCGTTAGTTGGACCACCGATGTGTATCATTGATACAACATACCACTGTCGAACAAAGCCTTCATCTGCTGGATATGTGACGAGGTTCCCGGAATGCGGTAAATACCCTCGACCTCCAAGCCATAGAGATCGACAGCCTGAATGCATTGATAGACTATTATCGGCACGGGAGAGCCGTCTCGCCGGAACAATTCTTCTAGAGTTACGCCAAAGATGGGGTTGATGGGAGGCTGACCAGGGTGATATAGTACACCACTAGTCTGCTGTGCTGTGGCCTGACCAACTGGGCCACGCGGATAGTCCGCTTGTGGGTAAGGAGCCTGAGATGTAGGTGAGTAAGGAGCATTGGTTGGGTATGGCGCTGCCTGAGGCGGTTGTGGCTGGTGGTGCTGTAGCTGCAACGAAGGAGGCGGCTGTTGCGAGTGCATCCCGAATGAGGGCGGTTGCGAAGGCTCGGCATGCGAAGAGGTCTGTTGCAAGGGTGAAGTAGGGTGAGGGTCTGGCTGCGGCGTCGAGAAGGTCGGTGGGGGTTGGCTCTGCAGCTGCATCGAAGGACGACCATTTCCAGCTGGCGGGGTTGGATGAGATCGTCCCTGGTTCTGGGTCGGATGTTTGACGTATTGAATCTCCGCTCTAGAAAGAGGTGCTTTGGACCCCTGGCTCAAGATGAACTCCTCAAAGTCTCGCTCATTGTTGATCTGGTAGATGAGCTGGTTAATGCTGGGTGGTGGATGAGCAGTGCTGCCCTTAAGTGACTGGGGCGTGACAACTTGGCCGTTGTTGACCACGAGTTTCTCATTGAATGAAGCTGGCGCTGTGTCAGTCGGGTCTTGGTTTCAGAGACAAGATGCTTACCAAACTTCTGCATTTCCATGGTAAGGGCAGCGTCTGTTTCCTTGATCAGGTCCAGTAGTGCAGAGACAGCCTGAGGCCGCGTAGTGGCTATGAGCTCCTTGCGTAAGGTCTGGGCCGTCTGCACCTTGCTGGCGTAGTCCTGGTCCGCTGCCTGGGTCTTACGCTGAAGATCCTCTTCGTGCTGGGCTGCTGATTTGGGTCCCTTCAGACCGAACTTCCTGCCCGCCCCTGTATCGCCCGTTTTGACACGGTCAAGATCTTCGGCCAGCTGGTCGTATTTGGCCTTGGCCTTCTCAGCCAGCCGTTCAGCCTCCTGCACCTTATTCTCAGCGGATAGTCCCTGCTGCTTCCATGACTTGCGGTTTCCGTCCATTTTGTTGGCTAGCTGCAGGAGGTTCTCGTGCATGGCGTGCAGAGCGAGCCCAAACTGGGTGCCATTGTCGGCGATGCGCTCGTTGGCATGGAGGACTTGTTCGAATTGAGTCCGATAGCTCTCTCCTCGTGTATCGGGCTTGCGCACGCCGTCGAGTGTCCCCCGGCTGAGTTTCTTCAAGCTGCCCGCATGTTCCTCCTCAAGGGCGCCCCGGCGCTTCAGAAACCCCGCAAAGTCCTACCACCTATGTGAGCAAATTGGGCTGCATAGTCAAAGTTGACGCCCACTGACCCTAGCACTCGAAATGCTGGCTTTGAGGCGATTCAGCAGGGTCGCGACGCCCACGTCCGAGTGTAAGATTTCATGGACTCGCTGTTGGGTATGCGCATCCTGGGAAGTACTCCGCTGTTCCGGCGTTGTGGGAGCGGCCTCGTGGATTGGGGATGCGAGAGCGCCGTCCTTTGTGACCTCGGATGTGCTGTTAAAGTCCGGGTTGAAGGGTTCCGTCATGTCCATGGGTGCAAGTGTAGGTGGGGCGTTCATTGCGGGTTCAGACAGATACCATGGTGGTTACATATATGCCAGCGGTCATCTTGGGGGACGCGCAACCTATCAGGCGGAGACATGGCACGGACGGTTTCAACGTCATCGTTTCCGCCGCCCGGTTCCTGTCGCATCCCACCCACCAAACACAGCCCGTGACCCAAGCATCACCCGCGTCGCGCCGCCATTCTCTGGCTATCTTGCGGGACCGTGCCCCTTTTTCTCTCGTCTTGGGCAGTATTGCACTTCGTATTAATGTCCAACATGTCCAACAGCTTACCCGAAGAGGTCGTAACATGCCTCCAAAATGCCCGCTTTGTAAGTTATCCTCCCTGCTAGCAGTCTTGTCTTGCATTTCCCTTATCAATCCTCCTCGGCAATCTCTTGTCATTACTGTCCTGTCTCTGGTCATTCCCATCTTGATATCACGTGTCCCAATGGATATCGCTGCTCTCTGTTCTTGTGCAAGATTCTGACAGATGCTACAGCTTCATCTTGCAACATGCTCGGAAAACATTCCTCACGTCTCCCTTATGAACTACACATATCTACCTAACACGCCTTACTTTTCAAGCCCAATCATCATCATGACCACACCTGCATCATCGCGCAAGACTCAGAACCTGGAATCGAACTCGCTTGTGTCTCTCTTGGTGCACGACTGGATATCTCATCGGCCACCTACTCTCAACCAGCCAGGCCGCTCCCCTTCACCAACCCGCCCAGCACCCCGGTCTGGATCACTAGCCGAGCTTCTTCTCGGCATGAACACAGCCTCATTGAGTCGAATCAGCACTACCATCAACGGCGTTGCCGAAATGGTTCCCTCTGGGTCGGAGGAGGAGACATGGTACAAGGCTCAACACGTTGCCAACAACACCTTTAGCGATGGTACAGAGGACATTTATTCGACTTCGCCAGGCGGGGAGGGCTTGTGGGGTAGTGGCGGGCTAGGCATCGGAGCTGCAAGTGGAGACGCGCCAAGAGAGGGTAATGCAGGGGCCCAATGCTATCTGGACGGAGAAGAAGTCAGGGTTGTCATTGTAAAGATCCGCGACGGAAGAATTGCAGACTGGAAAGGCCAAGTGCGGGATTGGAGATTGTCGGAAGGCACTCACAGTGCTCTTTCAAATGGAACAGCAAATTGAGTCCCTTATTCCACACTAGGTGAGCGGATTTATATATTATGTATTCAAAAGCTATGTTATCGTTTGTATGAGAGAAGCTGAACCCTCATACTAAATACTCTTGTGGGACATGCATATGCAAAGTCCCTGGAGAAGGTAGTTCCTTCACCCTGCACATCCAAAAGTACAGTAGATCGACCTTGTCCGATTCTTCGTACATCCACAAAATCAGACAGATCGACCTTGCACGACCAATGCCATGTTCCCTCGGAGCCCATGTGCGTTTGACAAATAAGGTGGCGAAATGCCCTGTAGTCTCGCTACAGATGTCTCTTATGCAAGGGGGTACCTTCCTGAACCACGGTGGGTTGTGGCACGCGCTGCGCCAAATCACATCCATTTGTCTTAGTTCTCATCCGCGTGTGGCGTCGGGCTATTTCCTTTGTCTCATATATCAAGTCGCGGTCAAAAAGCCAAACGACTTTCAGTCCTGCAGCCCCTTGTCACTGCTCTCTTCTTCCCGACAACGCAGCAACGCAGCAATGCACACTCCACTCCAAGTGATTCCCAGTTAGGACCGCTAGACATTCCAAAACCGCCCGTCGTGCAAGTAAAGGTGAGTTCACGCCTTGATTGCAAGTCACTGAAACAATAGCACCTGACTTTACCTTATGCTGACCCAGCCACCCCGTGACAGCATCAATGGCACTTCACGCATCAGGCACCACAGTCTACCTGCCTATCTACCCTCACCATCTATCTAGCCTCCATCACTACGTGTTTCGCTTGCAACCCCTTACAGACTGCTGCCTTAGACGGCAGCAGGTGAATGACGTAACTTCTCACGATTCACAAAGTCTCGGCTCCCTTGAGTGTTAGTGAGTCGAGTATTAGTGAGGTAAGTTGAAGCAAGCTTTGACAGTGAGTGATGAGTTTTGCACTGACTGTTTGCTATCATCAGGCTTAGCAACACTTTTTTTTTCTCCCTCGGTGACTGCCTACTGAAGCTTGGCGGTAGCCGGTGACGCACCCTGAGCGATTTTCTCTTATTCAAACCTCAGGTTTTTGTTTCTGAGACTTTCAACCCCACACCTTTTTCAGCATTTTGAAGCTGGTTCTTGTTCTGAGTCTTGACAAAGGCTTTTAATTGACTTTCTCATATTACACAAACACCAAATCCTCGGCACAATGGATTCTACAGTCTATTCTACTCCTCCTACGAACAACATCTCACTCGCTGAGGCGATCGAGATTGTAGAAGCACGTTTTGAAGATGCTGTTCAAAGCTGCAAGGATGACTGGAATAACGGCAATGATCTAGTCATTCTCCAAGACAATATTCCTCAGCTCTTTGGGGGCATCTTGGTAGAACACTTCAAACGCTGTGTGGGCGAAGTTTCTGGATTTCCTGTCGAGCTCACTGTCATGGATGGTGGCAACAACTACCACACTCTGGTCCAGATGCCGAAGAACATGCGCTCACCTCAAGTTGTATCAAGCCCCCAATTAGCACAGACATCGCCTTCTGAGCAAACCTCGATTGACCTGAAGGCCGTTGCTGCTGGCCTGAAAAAGGCCCCACGCCCGATGAACTGCTGGATTATTTTCCGAGATGCAATGCACAAGCATCTAAAGGTCGAATTTCCACACCTCACTATCCAAGAGATCTGTAAGCACATGGCACCCTCCGTCTTTCAGACAAACATACACTAACTAAGTCCTAGCTACTCGTTGTTCTCACATCTGGCACAACCTCTCTCCTGAAGCCAAAAAACCCTGGCAGGACGCCGCCCAGTCTGCCAAAGAGGAACACCTCCGCCAGCACCCTGACTACAAGTACACTCCGAGGAAGCCTGGCGAGAAGAAGAAACGTCAATCACGCAAGTCGAAGCGAGCCGCAATTACGGCTACGGCCCCAGAAGTGCTTCAATTCCAGCTGTCCCCCAACTTGATCCTGGCGGTACCTGAGGTTACGGACGAGCCAACGCTTGCTGCAAACCCTGTCACTGCTAGTGGAGATAACGCCTGTCCTGAAGATGTCTCAAACTGCTTCGATCCCAATGTCTTCCCAGAGATATATCCGCAGGCTCCTATGGCTGCCGACTTCTTCTACAACGCTGAGTCAATCCGTCATAGCCTGCTCGATACGGAGTTCAACATCGACTTCAATATGGATACTACTTTCGCCTTGTTCGATGATGAGATGCTTGCCTTTCGCGATGGAGCGGACGGAGATGCAACCTTGCCGTCCTTGTTTGAAGACACTTACTAAAGGCGCTTTACATGACTGCATATCTTTCTTATAAGTTGTGCATCAGAAGCACATCCACCAGTCCTTTGGTACTTACTTTGAAGCACTAACAAACCTCACCAACGTCGCTCATTTTGTCTCTGCACTTTTCGCGCTTCTTCGGTATTCGAAATCACAAATGGGAGGTCGGTGTCTTCGCGCATCTCAGACCGCGCATCATCTCAGGAGTTTCCATATTCATACAAAGGGAGCATGCATGGGGGAGTTTTCATGTACCAAAAGGGGGAGCTACAACGATAGCCCTTATTGCGATGGTTTCTTGCTTTCAATCTTAGGCGTTTCTAGATGATGGGATTCATTTCATGGCCCACGTGGTGGAACTGCATACGTGGTGGAATGGGATGTATCAGCATAGCTGCAGTCTCTACTCTACAGAATATTTTATGAGGTGAACGCACCAACATGGACTGGACTGATGGCATCAGTGGGTTCACGATAGTCTAATCTGGTCTCATTAAACAATTCATGGTTTTCAAATAGTACCCCTATGCGGTTTGATATGTGTGAAGATACTCAATGATGTTCCCTTGATTTCTCTAGTCAGTTGTAATACTTGTGCTATTGGTCGTCGTTGTGTAGGCTGTACCGCGATAGGCGAAGATCGACATGGCACTCGATGCTCACGTGGGAGCAGATGCGAACATGGTTGACGTCCGTCGCACCTGCCAATTCAGCTCCACATTATTGAGATATGTACAGGGATACCGAACTCAGACGGGGATATTGATATCTGCTCTTGGCCTGCTTGTCATGCCCACTACCGATTATCCGTAGCTATCTTCCTTTCCTTTGCTCTGCCAGACTGAGCTACTTGCCAATGGATGCATTTCATACGAATGAGGTGGAAAGCCATTGCGCATGTAGAAAATACGGCAAGGACATACATGTAAAAGTCTTTTCTCACGGCATCCGAAGAAACTCAAGTTGTATCTCGGCTGCACCACCAGACGATGCGGTGAATAAACCAGTGAATCCTCTCATCCTATGTATCTCGTGAGAGCCACAACGCCCCCAACATCCTCGGTTCCTGCTTCCGCAGCAAGGTACAGCATCCCCACTGCCGTGTAACCACCCACACACCAGATAGCCCGACGCCCACCTACTGTACACACCCAACCCGGCACCAGCAACCAGGTTAGCGCACCCACCGCTAAGCCTTCTTTCGATACTCCCTCTCCCAAAGCAACCACGCACCCTTCCCCACGCATAATATACGACTCATTGAAAAATGCAAAAAAGAAGTCATGCGCATCGCTACACTCGACCGACAGCACACTACACAGGACACAAGTACCGGACCAAGCGTACAAAACCGGCGTGGCGGGGCACCCACTCTGAGAGAATACGGGTAAGAACACTCTTCACATGAAAGGGCTTTAAACTAGTCTATCTCGGGGGTTAAAAGCGAACCGAGTTTAGTGGGTTTGGTGCCTGTCCATCACTATCGAACACACACGCATCCCTACCCCTGGTTGACATGTGTCACGTTACGGCGGTTTTCTTACCCGTGGGTACCGCGTGTGTAAGTACGGTGCTTGAAACCCCGCAAATCGGCCCCCTCT